TTTTAGGTGTTATTTAAAATGGAAAGTATAAGTGGAGAGTTTCATTATTATTATCCTAGAATTTTTTTTCTTGAAATTTTCTAGTTCATTTTTTTTTATTTCCTTTTTTTTTTTTTTTTTTAAGGAAAATGACAGTGAAATGATACGTGAAGCATTTCGGGTATTTGATCGAGATGGTAATGGATATGTTACAGCTGAAGAATTTCGATATTTTATGACTCATATGGGTGAACAATTCAGTGACCAAGAAGTAGATGAAATTATGGCTGAAGTTGATATTGATGGTGATGGACAGGTTAGATTTGCATTGAAATATTAATAAGAGAAAGATATATTGTACAGACTAATATGAATCAATGTATATAGCAAAAATTTTCAGATTAATTATGAGGAATTCGTGAAAATGATGACAGCCTAGTTTCCAACTAATACAATTCGGTCTTTTATCAACGTTATGCAAATTTGGATGGAAAAAACAATCAATCAGCTCTTAGTAATAATTTAAAAAATTTGTAAAAAAAAAAAACGATTTAATTAGTAATAAAATGCCTCTGGTTACATATAATTATTTAATATCATTTATACATATCGAAGTCATCGTTTAATTTCTATTTTTAAAATATGAAATCTATGTTTAGTTTAATCTTCAAATGATTGTTTGTTAAAGATACATGTGTTAAAAAAAAGTAAATGATTGAATCAATGATTTATAACAGTGAAACAACGACCGACGATGTTAAATATTTAACAATTTTAAAATATTGATCAAGTGATAAGATTATTTGTTTGTTCTAATCATAGAAGAATGATGCACAGCACAGTTCCTGACATAATGTTAGTTTCAAAAAATAAAAATAAAATAAAAAAAGAAAAAAGGAGAAAATGTTGAAAGTGCTGTATTGATAATTCATGATTTCTTTTTTTTTTTACAAGAGTTCAGAAAAATCTATCCAACTACTAAAAAGAGTGAAATAAGCAGAGTAAAGTTAAACTTTCTGAATGATGATTTGTGAGTTTCCTCCATTTCGTAACTTATGATAATTTTCCTGAAATATCATCGTAAAAATGACTAAAATTTTTCGGACGGGTTGTAAAATCATGATTTCGGATAATGCCTTAAATATAAGTGTTTCAAGTAGTACCTTTAAGACGAATTCAGTTAACTACCTAAAGCAAGCTTAAAACATTTCGTAGCATAATGCAACAGAAAAGAAATAAAAGGCAACAAGTAATCCCACAGTTGAAATCAGAGATCACTTATTTGGCCTAAAGTAAAGCACCAACAATTACATTTTCATTTTCATATCCCAATGAAGGACTAAAAAAAAAAAGACAAACTTGACCCTAATTCAATGCGAGAAAAAAGAATTACAAAGCTCAAAAATCCTAATCTTTTAAAACCATTACTGTAAGATTTTAACACTAATATATTTCTAATACAATATACCTAAAACAATAATAAACGTTGATAAGAATCGGGTAGAAAACCTTATTGTCCAGTAATAATTTATTAAATCCTTGATTATCATTATCTTATCATCATTTTCGACAGTAACATAACATCGAAATGACCTTTTATAGACACTAAAACTTATTACTAATAATACCATTATGATAAGAACATACTCTATGATGAACAAGTATACAGGATCGACAACCGACTTGATTTTATAAAAAAAAAAAGAGAAAAAACAGGAAGGTATTAAAATAAATGTGGAAGAGTTAATTAAATTGCTATATTTAATATGACATAAGTGAGATAATGATCTCGAAAAGAAAAAATATATATAAACATACCCACAAACTGAAATACAACGTCGCCACAAGAGTTGTGAAATATGCTAACGTAACATGTCTTCGCTGCTCCGAGAACATATGCTTTAAATAGCTCATTGGTCCCCATAAAAAAGCAAAACTGAAAATATATCAAAAATTTAAACCAAATTTGATACATTTATCCAAAAAAAAAAAAACAGATGGGAATCTCTCATTATTTGTTTGAAAAGTTTTATCTTTTCCATTCTCATATTATAAAGCAATATTTTGGAGATGTGCAAAAATGACTTAAATTTTCTCCCATCTGCAACAAATTAATGCAAAGATGAACAATTTATTCATACATATCAACTAGATCAAGCGGATAGGCTGCATGATTCACTCAGTATTTTCCAACACTAATAATATAACTGTATATTATCATTGTATTACTCTATTTATCTCAAAATATCTGACCATAATATATAACTAAATTGGTCTGACTAAAAAAAAATGAATGTCTGAAAGAAAAATGAAAAACAGAAAATTAGTAACTTAACAAACCTTAAAATTAACATAATCGAACCAAGCGTATTTAAAGCTGCAAATTTCCGGGCTTGTATAACTATAGTAGGAAGCAAGATAACAGCCTAGAAATGCTTTTCATTATTTAAAAGAAAAAAGACATGCTTAATCAGTCATTTTTCATTCTCCATGAACGCAACATATTATCAAATGTTAAAAGTATTTTGAAATTCAGAATTCAACAAATATATATAAGAGAAAAATATACAATAGAATGTCTCATATCATAGTGAATTATAACAGAATGTCATTATGTATACCAGATAATACTTAATCATTTTATCTTTGCAAATCTATCAGAAACCGGAAAATGATCATTTTACTTACAATTCCGAAGCAAACAAAAGCTGCTCCTATTGACATGAAAAATGCGACAATCCTCTGTATCTTCGACATCCTATAATAATGACATTTTACTTTTGAAACAGTTTCTCAACAATCTTATTCACATCATTTAGGTTTCACGGCAAGTGGTCTCAAGCCACAAAAAGTCTTTAATGAAGGCTGTAAAAGAGGCTATAAGTATCTCATTACTACTGGTAAATCAGTTCAAGCATAAATGATACAACGTATGAAAGATAATTTGACAATTATGAATTTATAAAGTTATGAATTTGAATCCCTAAGATTGGTAATACATTGAATTTTAAGGTAAAATTAAAATTAAATGGACGAACAGAAAGCTACTAAGATTTCAAAGCTATTAAAGCTACCAAAATTCTAAAATTGCTGAAAGAAAAAACAAAACAAAAAATGAAAGTAAAAAAAACCCAAAAACGGATCCATCGTTGGAAATGGAATTGAACCATCCACCATTTCTACGATTTCGTGTTTGCGGCAGTTGCCCACTTGTTCCAGCAGATTCTGTCAATACTTCTTGGTCCGAATCATCACCTGATAACCGTATCAGTGAGAACCCATTCAAACCGGATGTAAGCTTAGATCGTATGGCTTTAATTGATGAAAATGATCCTGACGTCGCAGTATTGCCAAAAAATGAATTCTTAGCTTTTTGCTGGTTGACAAACTTTTGAAGATCTGACATAACACTGCAGAAAAAAAAACACATATTTTTAACTTATTCACTCAATAAAATATAGCATTAAATGGATGATAAAAGGATTTTAGCTTTGCATATAGGTCGCTATGTTAATGATGCTCTTCCATTTTATGCTATATAAAAGAAAATCAGGATAAGTTATGCGAAAAATTAAGAATGATGAGAAATTTTTTTAATTAATCAGAAGATCTAATCGATAAAAGGAAGCCAATTCTGAAAGCTTCAAATCAGCTGAAACAAATGATGTCTACTTTTTAAAGTTAATAAACTCTTAAAGTCTGAAATTTCACCATACTATTCATAGAGATAAACCATTTATCTCAGTGTTCCTTAATTTCCCTTCCTCCAATATACATTGTATTATATTGTACATATATATGTATACATATATATGTATATATATATATGCATATATACATATATATGTACACATGTATATATATGTATATATAAAAAGGAAAACTAATCGAACCGATTTGTCGCTGAAAACAGAAAAAGCCATATACGGATAATACACACACACACAAATTAAGAGCATATTTATTAAATGTAAAGAACTGGAATAAAATCTGAAATGCATGTAAATTTAAAAATGGCAAAGACATGAAACCAAAATCTAGAATCCTTTTTCCCTTTTTCTTTTTGCACAATTATGTCAACTAACAAAAAAATACAACTTTAGCACTTATCTTTCCTTTATTCCTTTGAAAGTTACTTTATTGTTCCTTTTTTAGACAGTGCTGTTATTCGACAATGGTAACATCATTAACTGCAGTATCTAATTATAACAACAATGTCGTTGTATTATCATCAAGAACATCTTCTACTGAACAACCGAATATTGAACAACCGAAAACCTTAACCATAACTTATTTCTTACTGATTTAGTTATTCTAAAATCTGATACTTTTATTGATACCATATACTATGGTCTTCCACTTTTGTAGTTTAAAGTTAGCACATTATTTATTCCAAAGAGGTTACTGCCTCTCTCCTCCCGCTTTTAGTTTAAATTATGAAAGTTCATTGTATGTAAAGTTGTCTCGACAGTTAACTATTCTAAAATTATTTTACATTATATGGCACACAAAGAGCATGGTTCCGCTTTATATCTAATACACATTCGGTGTGATTCTTTAAACAACTTGAAATGTAAAAGATAAAAAGATTGCGAAACCTAAATTAGAAACAAAACGGAAAAGAAAGGATAGTAATCCTGTATTGAACAAGATTTCCGAACCCAACGAATGTTAGACGTATCACATCACTTTTCTTATCGATTATTTTCATCAACAACAATTTTCTTTGTAATGATTATCATCTAACTTCCACATACTCCAATTTCCTTCCCTCCAACATAATCTTCATTTCACAGTTCGTATTTCTTCCAGACAATTCATTATAATACGGCGCAGTGCAAGTTCAATTCGTAACAGCGCTAGCATGTGGCACCTGTATATCCTCCTCCATGACCTTCCGCTCTATAACATTTTTAAAAACCAGGCAAGAACATACAAAAGATGAGAATCATTATTCAGTTAAGAAAGCCACATGATGGCACATAGCTATATCTATGAAAAACTATGAATGTGGCCTTTGATATTTTTTGATACCAAATTAATCTATTTAACAAAATGTGAACACAAAAGAATATTGGCCATCTTCGCTTACAAGGATCTAAATACGACGGTTTAGTTTATGTTAATTAAATTAAAAAACTGAAAGCTTCGAATAAGTAACAGTAAAAGTTCGAATAAAATAAGTAACGAATAAGTAACTAACATTCAATACATCCTAATTCAAAATTGGTGATCATCTTCGCTTAGAAGGATCCAAATACGACGGCTTGGTTTATGGTGTAAAGGCATCACCAACGAAACACTCGACATGTTATTGCAGTTAATGCTCATTTTGTCGTCCTGCAAAGAATTCCTTAACCTATATAAAACTTAGAAAAAAGCATAAACACATTTTTTACCATAATCAGTGCTTCAAGGTATCAATATTACTTGTAAAACAATTCCTTGATCTATCACATTGTGGTATATGTAACGTGTATCCATCAACAGATTCAGGAAAATATCGGTAAAAAAAAAAAGAATTCAATACAATGCTACATTCCAATCTATTCTTTAGTGTTCAAAACAATCACAATTCAGTCTAAAATTTAGCATAATGTAATGTTAGGTCACACTTGGAATACGGATGAAAAGAAAAAAAATGTTCTCAGGTAGAAAGAGTTGGCGAAGAAGTGGTTAAGGAGAAAAAAAACCGTCGTTGACGCTGAAAATGTCTTGTCAGCTCAAACAATTTCCTAAATATATGTTAAAATGTGTTCGTAAAATAGTTAAAAAGAAAAAACTCCACTAATTTTTGAAGCATTAGGATAACTGTTAAGAAGTCCATCATTTCTTTCGCTGCGTTCTGTTCCGAAAGAAAAGCAATTAAAGACACTTCCTCTTTATCATCAAGCTGTTCGGAGAACTGTTCAACCAACGAAGAAGCGGCATTCTTGAATGGACAGCAAAATAAAATTTAAAAATGAAAAGGTTCTGAAGGAAAAAAAAACAACGAAGTCATATAGAACAGCATATATGCATGCTTCTTCCTCATCTATTTTTTTCTGGTATTTAAACAAATAGCAGCTAATATAAGCAAATTTTTTTCATAGTAATAAAAGAGCATGCTAAAAAAATGAAATCCTTATCATATATTCCTTCAAAATATCAAAGTTATTTTTAAAAAATATAAAAATAAAATTAAAAATAAAACAAACGTTTTTTTTTTCTGAGATAATAGACATATCCTCTCACTTATGCACAGCATTGTATCCGATATATTTTGTATTGTTCCAATATATCATATCTAAAAAATTACAAATTATACTTCAACTCATTTATGAAAAAAAGAGCTCGAACAATCCGTCAAATAAACAAGTTATGGATAAAATATTCCGATATTATTTTCGGTCGCAAGCCTCCATGAAATGCTATCGAGATTTCCCGAATATCGGTTTCATTGTGTCATTTGATAACGTAACCACAATGAAATATGACCAAGTATGAATTCAGCTGAAAGTCATTCGTCACATCTTTTATTATTTACTCCTTTTACCAGCAATATGTTCATAATTTTTTTGTTAGAAATTTTTAACTTGTATAAAATAACATTTTAATAGTTGGATAGCCCTATTTAAAATGACCAATTCAGGTGACCTGAAATTAAACAATTTTAATTTCTTCTTCAACTATCTAACGATATATTACTATTTCCTCCTCTTTAGCAGGTTAATACTATTTCGTATAATTCTCTCAATCATTACCACTTTTCTCAATCCCAACATTATACATCCAATTCTCACATTCTCAATTTTTGCTACTATTAAATATCTCGAATTCTTACACTATACATTAATGCTATTATCCAAAATCTTGTCAACCCCTCGTTTCTCTCATATTATCACGATATTACTGTTACTCTCAATCTCTGACCAAAACAATCACATTATCTCTAATTCCACCTCTTCTCGTATCCTCATCCGCAGATATATCGTTCTCACACAAAGTACCGTATTCCAAACTATCGTTCCAAAAGTCAATCTATTTCGAATTTGCTAATTTAAGAAAAAAATCGAGATTTTCGATCATATTCGTTGTCAACTTATTCATATTATCATTCCAAAAAATACATATATATATATGCATATATACTCAATCTTATATTCATATTTGAAAATTAACATATGATGATTACATTTGTGTCCCTTCCTAAATTGAACTTCCAGAAATGTTAGACTTTTATTGGTTGACCTTATTGCTGTTCATTTAATGAGAGATATAAAAAAAATGATATTGAATAAATAATGAAAATGATGGCGGATATTTCGAATAAAATCAATAATAAATTGCTACATTTTATAAAAAATATATTTGTTTAAGATATTTTAGGTAAGTAAATTTTTAAAACTTTCATTTGAAAAAATACTTTTGAGGAAGAAAAATTTTTCAAATTTCAAATTAAAAAACTGAAATAAACAATGGGAAGGATTTTAATCATATTGTTAGTATAATAAATACATAGTGTAGTGTACAATATCAAATGACTAATGGAACTAATCGATAATTTGAAAATTATTTTAAAATTGACCAAAAACTAAAAATAATTCATGAAAACAAAAATTAGATAGGAAGATGAAAGTATTTATGCAAATTTATCCAACAGAATAGTAAATATATCAAACTTCATCGATTATTTTTCTGGTTCCTCACTATTGATAATATGTAATTATCGAAACAGACAACTATAATAAAGAACTAATTAGGAGGAATTAGAACTTTTCACTACTCCTATTGTATATTTTAAATTGCTGAATGAGATCATTACGTTAACTTTTTTATTCGTATATCTGAGAATTAATCTTTATGATATACTCAAAAAAAATTGACTAATCTTACTACTGTAAAAGTTATTTCAAATGTTATCTGAATATTAATTAAGATCACATAAATCAATTCACAATTTAAAACATACAGTAGTAAAATATACAGTTTGTAAAATTTAAACAACTCACCGTTGAAAATATCAGAAACTACAAAATATATTGCTAATAATATTTACTATTACAAATAAATTTTTATTTCATTAATTACAATAAATTTTTTTATACATTTCCTTAATACGCAACAGGAGCTTATTTCGGATAGTATTCTTACTTAGGATATAGTTTATTAGGTATGATTTAAGTAATTCATATCAATCTGTTTTTTTTTTTTTTTGCAACACATTGATGTAAAATTATCGTAATAAATAGGGAAACCTAAAATTCCAATTCTGCAT